TTTGTGTTATGATTACTTAAATAGGTGCACTGTGAGATGAAAAGAAAAATGTATCAAATTTAGTTTTGAACATTCACTGTGATTAGGTCTATTATCCACGCAATACACCGTATTTATTTTTTTTCTTAATTTACATTATTTAATTTCATATTCTGTTCTTGTAAATAGCATATTCTATTATATTACATGTACAGGGTATATGCAGGAATCCTGAAGTCAAATGTAATACCTTTTTAAGACCTTTTTTAAGACCCTTTCCATACATTTTAAGACCTCATCGCCACTTTGAGTTTTAACCGGTTACATTGGCGACACACTTTACCTCACATTTTCTATATGCAGTATTGATTGTCCTTCCTCCTTATCTTCCAACCATTTGGACGCAAACTTGCATTTCCCCATAACGATGTTGTTTAACCTGTTACGCACGGCCCCCCCGGTACCGGGCGGATAAACGCGTCATTTGCAGGAAACAACGTCTAAGGAATCTTAATATTTAATAAACTATTGTTAGTTATTCTTGAACCCCGAGAGCAGGAGAGACTGAAAAGAGTCAAGGCAAGCTTATACAAGTTAACAGCATTTAATTACACAAAAGATGCGGTGGTTTACAAAAGAAATGTGCTCGTTGGTGGTTTGCTCCTGCCAGCTGTTTTGGCCGCGTCCGCCCGGGTCAGCTGGGGGCAAAGAGAGAGAGAGATCCTTCTTGGGTCTCCCGGGTAAGACCTGTAGTCTTCTCCTATTGGCCGGCGTCGACGGGGGCGTGTCCAATGCAAATCCTGTCGGTTTCTGCTGCTGAATTACATCAATCTGATGTCTGTGGTCATCTAAACATTCCCTAATAAACCTCATTCCAGCGTCAATAAATGAGTGTTAAACTCAGGGTGTTTAGTGTACAACATCACGTTATTTCACCTTCAATTCACGGTTTGAAAACGTAGCATTTCGCCACAAGCTAATGCTAACCGGAAATGACGAAATTCACCAGCGGAAAAACCGGAAGTCACATGTGAATCTTCGGTTTTCAGAATAAAACAGATTTAAATGAAATACAGTGTATTTCATTCAAATTACGCCACATCAACATTGATTTTAATTTCTAACAATCCCTCCTTTCACACCTTTTAAGGTGTGAACACAATACTGGAATCAATGAGTTCTTCATAAGACTGCTTTTAAACTGACGGTATGTTTTAGACTAAATTATGCCATAAAACATTGATTTTAATTTCTAACAATCCCTCCTTTCACACCTTTTAAGGTGTGAACACAATACTGAAATCAATGAGTTCTTCATCTGAACTTTGCATAGTACATAACTCATATCAAAAACATACTATCAAAATGGAATGGTTCAAATAACCGTCATCAAAAATACAAAAAATACTTCGGTTGGTCTTCAACATAAGTTTTCCCTTGTGCTTAAACTTCTAGTTTTAACATTCAATATCACTTTTCAAAATAGCAGCAATTAGCTTGGTTTTTAACAATCCCTCCTTTCATACCCTTTAAGGTATGAACATAATACTGAAATCAATGAGTTCTTCATCTGAACTTTGCATAGTACATAACTCATATTAAAAACATACAATCAGTAACAATACATATTCATCATAAATGCAAAGTTTTTCATTTGTGCATAACTTCTAGCTTAAACCTTTAATATCACTTAATAGCAGCAATTAGCTTGGTATGGAAAACGTCGAACTCCCTCCTTTCACATCATATATATCATCTTCATACTGTATCTGGTGTAAAGGCACTTGTTCTTTCACTAAATATAAGAAGGATAAAACTATCTGAAAATATTACTCTTTATTTAAACAATCCTATCCTCTTCAGTGTTGCACACTCCCTTTTCCAACTAATGTCTAGCGCTATTCTATCGGTCTGTTTTTTTCTTTGTGACTGTTTGTGTCATCCTTTTACTGTGTCTCTGGTGTGATTTAGGAATCTCTGCTGGTTATATCAGATATAGTTCTCCCCATCCACATTCTTGTTGGTTGTGGGACAGAGGAATAATAATTCAGAACCTGCTGATATCTGAATCTTAATACTCGGCATATGTTACAAACAAAATGAAACATCTTCATGGTGAACTAAATAACATATTTCAATAGCTCGGAATGTCTGATGAGCATCTGTGTTGTTCCTAAATAAAATCCTTGTAATCTTTTTCAAATCTAAATATAACAATGAACTATTCCTGTTTGTGGTAAAGACACACACTAACGTTATGTAATACAATTTCATTATGGATTCAAAAACAACTGAAGTCATAATGCTGTCAGAGTGTGGTTTCCTGAGTGTATCTGTCCTATAAAAGGTACGTCATTCTCTGCTTGGCTCGTGTGCAGAAATCCCATCAGTTGCACCTGGCAATACTGCTTCTACCTGTCTATTATCAAGCTGAAAAATGAATACAGAATTCCAACATACTGTCATCAAATGTCTTTCTATTATAAATTAAATGTATATCCCCATAATGACCTAAACAATAAAGTCCATGGCTTTTACTTCTATTTCTTTACCAGGCTAGTTACAAGATGTTGTCTAAAATAAATTCTGTGTCATTACATTACTATGTTTTAGCTTAACTGTAATATGTTCTTTCTATATTTCAAACCTCAGTTACTCTAATGTCTGTTAAAATATTACAAAATTGTTTCATTATCACAGGTCAACTTCTTCTGTATTCTATTCTGGAATTACATCTCTCACAGTAGCCCCTTGGCCACTGCTTCTGCATCTGTGTTACCTGTTAAAAATGCAATCAATATTTAGAAACATGTCAACATTCATCAAACAGTATCTTATCCCCAGATATGGAGCAGGTTAATTCTAAAACTATCATTCAATGCTCAGTTTGAACATCTAGGTTGGGGCGGAAGGTTTCTTTCAATCCCTAAAAGAAAAATTTAAATTGTGAATTTGACAGCCATGTTGACATTATACATTATACACACTCCCCCTTTTTACACATGAACTCATGTGTAATAAAATCCTGAAATGGGGAGGAAAGAAAACTTTCAGTTACATTTTGGTTAGGGACATAGCAATTTTACATCCATTATTATTATCTTTCCACAGTAAACACCTCAGTGAAAATAAATGTTTCTCTTCATCTTTCAGTCCTAAAAGAAACAGAATCTTCAGATTATAGTTTGAGTTTTTTCATTTGCAAAACGCCAACTCCTAAAAATGTTCAATTACTTATTGTGTTGTACCAGTTTTTTCCAAAATCAGTTCTAACTGCCGTGCCGTTTCTGGAAATGTGGCGGTACGGCTACACAATTTGCAAGAAAGTGCCAACATGTTCCTTTGTTAACTCTGATCCGGAGTGCATCTGCAGTGCGTTCTACAACTTCCCATGGTCCACTCCATACAGGTTGCAATGAGTTAATCTTGTGGATTTTTACTTTCACCCAATCACCTGATCCAACAGAAATATTCTTCATGGACCTGGCATATGCTTCCGCCTCAATTTTCCTAATATCTAACACTGGTTCTCCTCTGTATTGTGAGGGGCTACATTGTGGTGGATATTGCTGAGTGGGGCAATCTCTGGCCAAATGTCTACAATCACCACATATGAAGCAGCCATCATCCCTTCTTCCTCTTGATCGTTGCTTTCCTCTCCATTGTCCCTTTTGTTGTATGGGAGGGTATACCTGTGCTTGCGTCTGACCACATGTGTAGCAGCCACCATTCTGGAAACTTCTTCCTCCGCTTTGTTGGTTCTGCATTTGATTCTCTGGTTCTTCCTGAGTTTGAACTGTTGGAGGTGTTCGCCCTGCCTTCTCTGCTAGTATGGCCATCTGCTTTGTCGATTTCTTGTTTTTATTAGCTTCGGCCTCTTTCTCAGCTTCGGCATCTTTCTCAGCTTCGGCATTTTTCTCAGCTTCTGCATTTTTCTCAGCTTCTGCATCTTTCTCAGCTACTTGTATCTTCAAAAGTCTTAGTTTTAGTGCTTTCATCACTTCATCATTTTCCCTCTGTGTTGCCTGGTATGTCATGTCGTGGTGAATGAGATGTTGTTTCCATTCTTCTGGGAGTTTAGCTTCTAATCCCACCACGGCTTCCAGGCATACCTGAACTGATCGGGGAAGGGCTTTAATGACCGCGTTCTTCCACAACATTACGACAGCCGGAGAAACGTCATGTCGTTCTCCAGTGCAGTCCTCCCACACTCCTTCACATCTCTTCAGGAAGGTATGCATGTCCTCCCCCGGTTCTTTTCTCAGGCTGTTGAGGGCGTGTAAACTGCGTGTTGTCGGGTAGATGCTACGAATAGCAGCCCAATAGCTCGACCTGATATTGTTGAATGAAGTGTCATCTGGAGAGTTGGTGCATTTGGCCATGAAATCTACTGCTCTTGCCTCTAGTCTGCCTTCTATCCGTCTAAGCAGTGCCCTCATGTCTCCCAAGCACAGGTGGTCTTGGACAGTGTACTTCTCCAGATCTTTCACCCACTTCTGACCTCCTTGGGTGAGTGGAGGTAGCTTTGCCACTAATGATTCCATGTCCCTGTGAGCCCATGGTTGGTAGTCAAATCCTCCTCTCTCAGCCGCTATCAATGGCATGAAGGTATGTGCACTGGTCTTGGTTCTTCCAGCTTTGGGGAATGTCCCAGGGTATTCGTCCCTACTATTGTTCTCTGAGGGAGATGCAAATCTGCGTCGTTGCTGTGACTGTTCTTGGTAGGGGGAGTGTCTACTGGTTACAAACTGTGTACTGCCGTCGTCATCTTCATCTTCATCTCCTTTGGAATAGTCTTTGTCAGGAGAGTAATTTGTTCTGCGTTTTGTTTGAGATTCTCCCCATTTTTTAGTTATTTGTTGTTTTCTTTCATCTGCAGAATGTGTTGTTTCAGGAGAGCAACCAGTTCGGTAATTTTTCTCTTCTTGCTCTTTTTCCCATGATGAGTTCTGCTTCCATTCTTCTGTTGAACTCTTCCTCTCTGATGAGTTCTGCTTCCATTCTTCGTTTGAACTCTTCCTCTCTGATGAGTTCTGCTTCCATTCTTCTTTTGAACTCTTCCTCTCTGATGAGTTCTGCTTCCATCAGCTGGTTGACCTCATACGCCAATTCTTTCACATTTGGGGCTTGAATTGATGCTTGGTGAGAAGGGTTGTTCTCTGATATGTCGGGAGGAGGCACTTCGGTCAGGCTTGGATACTGCTTTGGAGTTTGGATAACTGGAGCCTCTTCTGTTATTTCTGCTGTGTCTTCATTTACTGGCAGATCTGCTGCTTCTACCAAATGTAAGCTTGTTGTCAATCCCTGGCTGGCATATTTTAGATGGAGTATCAGACTTGTAACTCTAGCTTTTCTTTCTTCAGCTTTGTTCATAGCGCTTTTTCCAGGTCCATACCACGAGGGTCGTCCAGCTTTGATCCATGCCTCTTGCTGTTGTAGGTATTCTCCATTCTCATATTCAACTACTGCTTTTCTATGGGCTTTCGTTGGTCCAGGTTTATCATCTGCTGGAATCAATCCTCTCGTTTGCCACTGCTCGAACAGTTTCTCTATTCTGTTCCATGTCTTCTGTCTATCTTTTGGCGCTGTCATAGCATCTGACCTGATGTTTACCCTCTCCTTAATATCTGCAGTTGAGCCTGGCATTGAGAATGCTCTTAACTTAGTGTCTTTTGGTGACATATTTCTTAAGTAGTTGGATATAGTTATTAAATGTATCAAAGATGAATCACTAATCTACTGAATAGCACCTTCGTTCCTGATAAAAAATATCCTATGTCATCCGAACTTAACTTCAATATCTGGGATTCTTTTTTTCTTTTTTTTTTTTTTAAAGTTTTTTAAGTTTTTTAGTTTTTTAAGTTTTTAATAAAAAATTAATAAAGTAAATTAGAAATTATGCAAATTTTAAAATCAGAAATTTAAAAAATAAAAAATGTACAGTGTATGGTTTTGACCTTTAAAATATGAAAATAGGAATATGGTGAAAATTCAAATAAACTGTGTACAGTGTATTCTGAAGTTTATGAAATTATGCAAATCTCATAACTACAATTCAGAGAAACCACATGTAATCTTTATCTGTGTGTGGTGAAGAATGCATTAACTGTAATGGTGTGTCCGCTAGGGGAGCTGTCTTATTTTTAACTCCTTTCAAATGCATCAACTAGCACTTCCGGTTCATAAACCTACTTCCGGTTTATTTACCCAAATAAAGTTCAAATTACTTTCTTTGAAAAGCATGAAAAACAAAAACAACTTAATCTACTCTCAATGTTCATCTACACCATCCCTGTGTATCCACCATCCCAGTAGTTACCAGTTGTATCTTTACTCAAACTATTTTACCACCTAGTAATGCCAACTGGCTAGCTAACTAGCTTAGCAGTATAGCATTAACCTCATGTGACTGGGGGAAGGGGAGGGGAACAATGGGAACATGTGATGCAGATAAAAACCACACTGCTTGAAACACTCCAATACAAAACAAGACAATCTTCATTTATCTTAGCTCTAAATTCTATAGATGCTGACCTTAAAAGCTGATCTTATACCAATCTTGTACACAATCTTTCCGGCTTAGAACATCACACAAAAATATACTTTTCGGCTTAAGAACTCCACACAATATACTTTATTAAACGAGACTACGCCGGTTTAACACATCATATATTAACAACATATAAACTAACATGAATGGACCCAGTCCAGTGCAAAACAGAGCATGGCTCGTACCTCCCCAGAGATCTTAACACTATTTGGAGCCAGTCCAATGTAAACCAGATAACCTCTAGTGCCTTCCCAAAGGTCTTTAATATTCACATTAATCGGGCGGCGCCGAAGAAACACTATAAACAAAACCGCACCACCAACGCTTGCACCTAATGTAAGTTATTTAACTATACCGTTTTTTAATTAAACAGGTAACTGTCTCACCTTTTATTTAGGCCCAGCCAAAAAATCCTCTGTCTGCCGCCTGTTGTGATGCTAGTTAGCTGCAGCTTTCCCCTCTTCCAGTACTCTCCAGTCTCAGAGTCCCTTCGTTGGTTGCCAATTGTTAGTTATTCTTGAACCCCGAGAGCAGGAGAGACTGAAAAGAGTCAAGGCAAGCTTATACAAGTTAACAGCATTTAATTACACAAAAGATGCGGTGGTTTACAAAAGAAATGTGCTCGTTGGTGGTTTGCTCCTGCCAGCTGTTTTGGCCGCGTCCGCCCGGGTCAGCTGGGGGCAAAGAGAGAGAGAGATCCTTCTTGGGTCTCCCGGGTAAGACCTGTAGTCTTCTCCTATTGGCCGGCGTCGACGGGGGCGTGTCCAATGCAAATCCTGTCGGTTTCTGCTGCTGAATTACATCAATCTGATGTCTGTGGTCATCTAAACATTCCCTAATAAACCTCATTCCAGCGTCAATAAATGAGTGTTAAACTCAGGGTGTTTAGTGTACAACATCACGTTATTTCACCTTCAATTCACGGTTTGAAAACGTAGCATTTCGCCACAAGCTAATGCTAACCGGAAATGACGAAATTCACCAGCGGAAAAACCGGAAGTCACATGTGAATCTTCGGTTTTCAGAATAAAACAGATTTAAATGAAATACAGTGTATTTCATTCAAATTACGCCACATCAACATTGATTTTAATTTCTAACACTATGAATGTTTTATATCCATGTAACGGGAATAAACTCAGCAAACTGATCTTTTTAATTTTTTTTTCAAATAAAACCCCACAATGCTAGCACTCAGCCTCTGAATTATCCACGAGCGAAAAAATGTAACCTAAAACGGCACTTAAACTCACAATAACTCCCTTATTACTTATCCTAGATGCACAGCCAACCACTCGTTTTTGGTCTCCTGGAGACACAGAATCGTTTGGTGCCCACCTCAACACTCAGTGATAAACATTTGCGACGCTATAAACGAAAGCGTACATCATAACATGTGGAGCTAGGTAGCTAGAAACGCTAACATGGCTTACCTTGGTCAAAACTGGTCTTCAATGGCATTAAAACGATAAAAAAACGATGCTGCAGTTAATCCATAGGTTAATCGAATGTATCTGTGTCCTTTTTGAAATTATTTCTGATAATCCATAAGCAATAAAACTGCTTTTTCGTTTCCAAATGTCAGAGCGAGAGATCGGTCCACTCTGCTGCATATTTACATGCGCGCAGCCGCCACCTTTTTTCTTCACAACGTGTGTGTGTGGGAGCCTCCCCCTTCGATTCTATTGGCTCTAACGGTCAGAAAGAGGTGTCAACCATCCAAATCGACCAAGGGGGGCCAGAGATATGGAAAAAAAAAACATTTTCACCCAAATCACCTCAGAGGTGGGGTGGTTTTGGCTAAACCTCTCTAAAAAGGTCAAATGTCACTTGTTTTGCATCAATCTTGATACAGGGTACTTAGTATATGTTGTACTTTGGATTCCTAAAGCTTTTAGTCTACTAACCCATCATCCAAGGGTAGTTTTCACTATCTGTAAAAAATAATTTTTGGACGGACACTATAATTTACAGTTATTTACTATGTCAAATCTGAATTTTCATTAAAGTAAAAAACATCTATATTGATTCTGACATTTCTACATCCAACTCACAGATGTAACCTTGCTTTGATAAAAGAAATTATTCATATAATCCTTTTAGAAGTTAACTTGTAGTCATTTGTTTTGGGCATGTCATTTTCGAGCCTGAAACATGAAAAACAGGCTTGGTGCTTAACAGGTTAACAACCGGCGTAAACGGACCTTCGCGCGCTATCAAGCAGTGAGCGTGCGATGTCCTGTTCAGATGACGTCAAATCCAATGGGATGCCATAAATAAACTACACAGAATCACACTACACACCTACGCAATGATTACATTCAGGCAAACTGTAGAATACAACCTCTTTGGACAATTGATATACTTATTGAAAACAAGCTACAACATGTAATACCTTGGAAAATGCCGTTTAATACTTTTTAATAGCCTTCATTTTCACTAAATTGATTTATCAACTTTTAATACTTGTTAAGACCCTGATGTATATACAGGGGTGCATACAACTTTCTCAGTGAGGTACTCAGATGAGTACCTGGAGTCAGTGTTTGGTACTCCAGCTTCTGGCTTCTGGCGATTGTCAACGGGGGGGGGGGCAGGGGGGGGGGGTGGTAGTGTAGTACAGCGCTTCACGATTGTCAGGGGGGGGGGGGGGGGGGGGGGTAGTGGAGTACAGAGCTTCGTGGCCGTGGAGCGTGTGAACGTTGTGATCAGCTGTTTTAGCGCAGGGCTGCTGTACAGACCGACGTTAACAGCAGCCCTGTCTGTGCACACGGAGACCGACTCTGTCGTCCGGTGATCTAACCGCCTTCTGGAAAAGCTTCACAAGTACGTCGGTACGCAAATGCGCTTTGTGACACAAGTGACGGTACGCATTTCAGATTGTTGCCGCGCATGCGTACCTGCGTACCAGTTATGTGCACCCCTGTGTATATAAACTTTTTGCACTACTTTTTATTTTTGTATTCTATCATGCCAGCCTATACAACACATTGTATAGGCTGAGTTTTACTCTGTGTGTTGCAACTTGCATATATATTTATTGCACTTGACGCACACAGGGGGGAAATGTCCCCCGCTCTTTTCAAAATCCCGTTTGTGTCCCCCCACTTTACAAATATGTTTTTTTTATTTTTTTAACACAAGCCGTCATCGCCACGGAGGAGCACACAGCCTCTGTGAGCGAGCGAGCGAGACAGAGAGAGAGAGAGAGAGAGAGAGCTGGGGGAGAGAGAGAGGGAGAGAGGGAGAGAGGGAGAGAGGGAGAGGGGGAGAGGGGGAGAGAGAGAGAGAGCGAGCGAGAGAGCTAGGGAGAGCACACCTTTATCTATTTAATAGATAAAGTAAGAAATCATTCCAATGTGTACTATAGGACAGTAAAAAAAACAGTTTGAAAGGGAAGTGATTAGTAAAATAAGCATAAATACAAAGAAAGAATGCTAACTAGGTAACATAAGATAAGAATAAACCAGTTTAAATGATTTGTTATTGGTTGTGATCATATTCTAAAGATGTTTGGATTATTGAAAAGTATACAGCTCTCTTTCATCTGAGTGTTGAGAGCTGTATCCATCAATTCATGTTGTGCTCAAAGTGCACCAGATTGATGCATTTCACTTCAACATTTAAAAACAATCTTCCCGGGGGTGCATGCCCCTAGAGGAGGTGAGGACCCCCCTAGAGGAGGTGAGGACCCCCCTAGAAGAGGTGAGGCCCGTCCACCCCCAAATAAAGCAGGTTAAAATAATTAAATTGCATACATGTTCTTTTAGTAAACACTGTATGCTCCATCAAGGATGGTGCTACAGGCCGCAAGGCAGTGCACTTACAACTACAATAAGCATGTCAATGTTAATCTAATACACGATCCACTAGATTACTTTCAGAGCCATGTATTCAGTATTCAGGCACTAATTACATTGACAGAGAGGCTAAGCTTGGATATAAACTGTGACGTGTTTCCAAAGAGAAAGTCCATACTAAAGCAAGATAGTTTTACGATATTTAATAAACAAAATCAAAACACAGTTACTATGGACAAAACGGTCAACAGAAAAAATGACAGCACAAGCTCACCCTCTGTGATCCGCACTCGACATGAAACAGGTGACCTATATACACAAACCACACCCATGTGAGGTTACCGGAAGTGTAATAAAAGTGACGTAAACAAATAATGATAATACAAATAATGAACTCGGGCTAAGTAGCATTATGGCTCCTAGACATGCATTTCACACATATTGAGGACTGAGTATTCTGTTCAATTTGAGATTAAAGTCACATCCTGGGGGATCTCTTCCCTGCCAAGAATGTCAACATTTAAAAAAAATCTATGTCGTCTTATTTTTTTAACTGTATGCCAACAAGTGTGAACATGTGTTGGTTATATGTTGCATGTTTAGAATGCAATGATATTTGTCCAATAGGAAGTTATGCGTGCACATACCCTTTAAAGAGCACTCAGGATTTAGACATAGGTAGACTGTCACCTGATAGCTGTGGTTTGACAATGTCTATCTGTCTGTTTGTGCAAATTGAAGAAAAGTTCCAAAATAGTGCCTCTGGCCTCCATGGTTACCATGCTCTATGGATTAAGATGCTCTCATACTGATACAATTCTATCTAACTATCAGGCATGTAAAGCGCTGAAATTACTTGTGGATAATTGAAGAGCTGGGGCACTCTAAATGGCTATCAGTCTGCAGTGAAGCAATTTCTCCAGTTTTTGGCTAAGATTCTCGTAATTACAATTGATCTGGATTAGCAACGTGCTTAGAAATAAGAAGTTGCCAACTCAGTGCTCCCTTTCCTAAACAGCCCTCGGAGTGAAAATGTCAGCATTGAAGGACTGAGTGTCTGGAACCTCAGAGTCACTACGGTCCAGTGTGCAAGAAGACTGCCGAAACCTTAAAGGAAACACCAAAGATGAAAGCTACAGATACTCTAAATCAGTTGAGAATAATAAGGTAAGGGCAGATAGCACCTGATCACATTAGCTCATATCAATTTATGAATATGCAACCCAACCCAACCTAAGTTGTTTGAAGTATAGATGTTGTAAGAGCAGATTTAAGGACAGATTGTCGATGCAACATGTTACTTTTGAAGCTGGTGTGAGATAATCTTGGTGGTGGCAGACCTCTGTGGAGAGGAAAAATAAACAAGGGCGGATTTTCATGCAATCTGAAGAAGACAAAAAAACATTGCCTCTTTTGTTTTCCATTGGACCTAAAGTGAGAGGTTTGCCCAAAATCTCCATCTCATATTCCACATTCACAGGATCCCAGTGTGCTCTGCGGGGTTCACACTGCACCAGCCGTCACATATACTGCTGTCCATATGGAAGATGGGACAGCGAGGACCAGCTAATCCCTTCAAACTCCATGAACTTTGCTTTCTTTTTCTTTGCTCTCTTTATGTGGCAAGAGTCCTGTGACCAGATATCAAAGTTTGCGGATCAGGTAGGAGGCCGGCAGCAGCCCGCAGCCCCACCAACAGACTGCCTGCTGCTGTGCTGACGGAGGACCGCTGCACACAAAGCATGAAAAGTGTGGATTCCAGGGGCCAAAGGCCAGCGTGATGGGCTCTGCACTTCCCGGCCGGCCAGGGGAGAAAGGAACGGCTCAGTCAGCAGGCCAGGGCCACTGGAGCGATGAAAAGATAATTCTCCCCCCCACCGCTGCTGGACCTCATGCGGCGTCAAACCATTTGTGAGCAGTGACACAGCCAGATTGGGCCGAAAGGATATGAGTGGGAAACTTCAAAACCTGCTCATGTTTCTGCAGACGTGAAAGGATTTGTATAACACATTCAAATTTGATGGACTTTCCCATGTTACTTTGGACAGCCCTTTTTTGTTGACATGTTCAAATAATGAATCTCTTATGTGTAGGATCCCTTTTCCCCCCCTGCTCTCGAGTCCTGTTCTAGTTGTGGGTAGGGATGCTGTGCGGACCATTCCATCGTCTGTCCCAAGCTTATGGAGAACCGCTGACTCGCTTGCTTCCAGGAACCAGGGTGAGTGGTCCTACTTCTCGTAGAGCAATGGTCTGCGTTTTTACCTCCAGCTGTCAGTAATAGCATGTGTACTGTCAGAGCTAGGTCAGTACCTGCTAACTTGGTGAAATTACTTCTTTAATTTAGCTTTTTCATCAGGACTGAAACCCTGTATGTGGGACGGACAAAAATTCTGTGAGAGGAGGTTTTCACAGGACTATGAAATGTGCACTCAGTGATAAACCATCGCACCTGATGATATGACATCAGTAATTATCCAGCATCGTTTTAAGAAACGCTTTTATAAATAATTCCAAGTAACATTTGTTTACTTTTGATTTGGTTGACAAGCATATGAAGTATGTTCCTCTGGAGTCAAACTGCTGTGAAATAACTCGAATCTTGTGGGAAAATCTTCTCCTCCTTAAAGCACACTTGGAGAAGAATATATATTTGTTTAGTAAAAATAATTAACCATTGGATACATTTCACTTTTTTTGTTTTGTTTTCTGAAGTGACGCATTTCTCAGTGCACATTCTTTCTCTGTTCCAGGTGCTGAAATGGAACATATATTTTTGATTCTTTTACTGTTCAGTAAAGCTTTATCAGCTGGAGCTCAATTCAATGGATATAACTGTGATGCCAACTTTCACAGCCGCTTCCCCGGTGAGGAGCAACACATTTTTATTTTTCATTTACTGAATGGAATTCACATGTCAATGTCTCTTTAAAAAGAAAGTTGACTTCAAACCTGCTTCAAAGTCCCAAGAGGAGATGATGACATTTTCCACCACATTATACCGATTCCTCATTTGTAATTTAAACAAAATGTAACATGTTGGTACTGGACCGTTATTCTAGAACTGCACTCATTTTTATTTCATCACATGTGTGTCTTGCAGCTGAGAGGGATATCAGTGTGTACTGTGGGGTGCAGACCATCACCCTCAAGATCAACTTCTGCCCCGTCCTCTTTTCTGGCTACACTGACTCTGACCTGGCACTCAATGGTCGCCATGGAGATGCCCACTGCCGCGGTTTCATCAACAACAACACCTTCCCCACTGTAGTGATCTTTAGTATCAGTCTGGCCACGCTGGAGTCCTGTGGAAACTCCCTGGTGGTAAGAGTGTTACTGTCAGCATCACTGACACTGCATCCTGTGTGTCGCTTTGTGTACCTAACAGAAATATTATAATACCAATAGCTTTAAAAAAAAAATCATATGTTAATGGGGTATGTAAGGTTAGTGCTGTATTTAGCCACACCCAGTTAAAACCAACATAAATGATTCATATTCTTCTCTGACTCGACAATTATCTTTATAACATTTAATTGCTAACAGCAGAACAAACACACTGAAGTGTCTAACTTTCAAAACTGTGTAAAAAGCCTCCCAGCAGTGTGTCAGTGTTTTATTACAGCCAGCTGTGTGGCACAGTACCAAGCTCGATGTTGACAAGTCGTTTTTATCCTGCATGGGAATAGAGTCGAGCATCTCTGTAGAGACGCTGCTGCTGGATCCTGACAGGGCCTCTAGTGTTAGGAGGATTGACTGAGTTTCCGGAGGGTCCGTGCTCAGATAAAGGGGGATAGACGGGTGGATTAGTGCAGCATCAGCCTGCTCACTGCCATACTGCCAGGAGTTTCACCACTGATGTTGTTTGCTGCAGGTCTCCACAGCTCAAGGACCCAACGCTTATGGCAACCTGTCACTGGTGCAGATTGGGAACATATCAGGGTACATCGACACTCCGGACCCCCCCACCATCATCAGCTACCTGCCAGGGCTGCTGTACAAGTTCAGCTGCAGTTACCCGCTGGAATACCTGGTGAACAACACACAGCTGGCCTCGTGAGTCTCTGCTTTTGTTTTCAAAGTGCTCAGTGGGACCTCTGTTTGGACATTTCTGAGTGTGCCGCTTGTGATGTCAAATTTTAACTATTATACAAACCGGGTGAACAAAGGGAAATAAAAACCTCCCATACGTATATATCTAATATCTAATTAATGCAGTTTATCATTTTAGTACTGAATTTCTGTCGTTAACCACGATGGATAATATTTTTATACGATGCACAATATTCTGCTTAAGAATAATAACAATAATAATAATAATAATAATAACAATAATAATAATAATAATAATAATAATAATAATAATAATAATAATAATAATAATGCATTCCGAGACAAATGTATTTATGTTTAAAATGAATGATACCAGAGAAGATATTTATAACAAGGTCTGAACTGAAGATTTGACTTTTGGTCACAGTAGCAGACAGAAGCAAAGTCACAGACATATGTTCAGGTTTGGCTTCTAGGCATTTCATCAAGGCTGTTCCTCATTATTTAATTCTGTAACATTTTGAAAGTTAAATATCATCCATCCTTACATACATATTTTGTGATTAAAAAGAGATTTCCGCATCAGGTCATTGTGAAATATTGGAATCCCGTTTCAAAATGTTTTTGGCAGCCATGATATTTTATCTTCATTGCAGGTCAGCAGCTGCAATCTCAGTGAAGGAAAGCAACGGTACTTTCATCAGCACATTGAATCTACTGCTATACAATGTACGTTCACATCACTCCAGTCTGAACATCTGTTGTTATTCTGCACAGGGGGTTAGGTTAGCCAAACATCAAGCATGCATCAAACAGCATACCAAACTCTGCAGCTATGTTACATTAGTCTGCCCCTTTTACATTTTCACTAACAATTTCTGAGAATGATGATCCATGTTCAAGATGGAGAGGATACCATTGTATGCAGCCCTAATTGGACCTTGTATACTGTAAATGGAGTAGATTATACTGAACATACCCTCAACACAAACATTACTCTGGAACCACTTGTCAATGTTACACTAGTGAATGGGATTGTATGTAAACCAGACAGATTTGTGATGAGTAGTGAAATGTAACACTTCACTCCCAACAGGAAAATAGAGTGAGGGTTTGTGAGAAACATGCTGAAGTTTCTTGTGTTTGTGTCCAGGACTCATCGTACATCCAGCAGCTGTCCATCCCCATGGCTGGACTCACCCTGAAGACGCGCGTGTTCGCAGCTGTCAAAGCCGCTAACCTGGATCGAAGGTATGCAGTCATTCAGGTTGAATAATGATGTTCCGCTGTTGTTGGTTTTCTGCCAAATTGTCTGAACATGTGATAAGTAAGTTAATTGTAAGGAAACCACATCTATTCTGACTGTGACACACTCAGGGCTGTGATTACACATTTGGCACCTCTGAGCAAAATGTTGATGATAAATAGGCTGAGGGGATTTCTGGTAGAACTTCACCTAATTACAAGGTTTATGGAAAAGGAAAATAACTGTCGCAACTCTTGAAAAGGAATAACTTTTTAATGAAAAATGCTGCCTGACTCGTAATAAGAGACACATGAGAAGAAACTTTGAAATCAGCCTGAACATTCCCATGGGACTCAGGAGGGATTAGGCTGTGCTTTGTGTGTCCTTTTGTTCACCTGCACAGAACGTTTGTGTTTTATGGCACGATGCTCCTTAATGATAAACAGAGTGCAGGGATGGGAAAGTCTGGGTTTGAATCTGACTTAATTTGTTCTAACTTTTCTCATGATTTCAAAGTCCCTCAAATACTCACAAATACAGCGAAACAGCATCAAAATCACATGGTACCAAACACTGCTAATCGTTGTTTACTTTAAAAAAAAGAATTTCACAAATGTGTGAGTGAAGCGGATATAAAGCACAGTACATAGCGGTATCTGAGCACCTTAACACATTTCATTTGGACTGGTTTATGAATGTGTTTCCAGGTATCCTTGACCTGCTTACATCAGCTAATGTAATTACTGTGTGAAAGTCAGAAAGAGCATTGTGATTGTGACCGACCGCTGCAGGGAACCCACCAGGTTCCCTCTGACTAGAACCACCTGTAACTGTTTTTCCAAATGGTTTCCTTTTATCAGAGAGCCAGCTCTGCCCTCTGGTGTTGAAGATGACTCAAATGACTCCATGGTTTGTCTCCGCAGTGTTATCTTGCCTCTGATTGGGGAGGAAGTGGGGGTAATCAAAACAAGGAATGTTCGTATTATTGGGGGGGGGGGGGGGGGGGGGGGGGGGGGTGGGGTTGGCCACTTGAATAATGTTTTTATTTTTACAAAATTAGTAGAAATAATGTCAATGAATAATCTATAATATGCAAAGCAAATATTGTTCATTGAAATAAGCTCGGAGAAAATATCCCCCCTTTAAAAGACGTTTGTGAAAACAGCTTTTAGTGTTAAAAACCAAGTGGAAGACCCAGGGGCCGTAAACTGCGCTGCCAACGGGCCCCCAGCCTCTGACCATCTCCCTATGATTCATGTGTTCAGTAAATGTTACCAAATGTATGTTGGAACATAATCCAGGTAGCAAATGTATTTTCCTACAAAAACAAATTGGTAGTATATAAAGTATTTTTTGGAAACAGGGCTAATTATTATAGAAAATGATATCTATTGAAAACACAAAGATCACTTTGGGAGTGATGAGAGTGCAGCACATGACCTCTCTGTCCTGTGGAACAGATGGAATGTTCTGATGGACTACTGTTATACCACGCCCTCTGGAAACCCCAACGATGACCTCCGCTATGATCTTTTCTTTAGGTAACTCAAATTTGAAGACACAGATTTTGTTCAGTTATTATATTTCAGTTGCTCTCCTTTCTAATAAAACGTGCTGATTTCCCCTCTCTGAGCCAGTTGTGACAAAGACCCCCAGACCGCTGTCTTTGAAAATGGCAAGAGCCAGATGGGACGCTTTGCCTTTGAAGTATTCCGCTTTGTGAAGCACAAGAACCAGAAGATGTCCACCGTCTTCCTGCACTGTGTCACCAAACTGTGTCGGGCTGATGACTGTCCAATGCTCATGCCAGTGAGACCCACAGGACACCTAACACTGCAAACACACAAGAAGAACACCGAGCACACATATTCAGTCCAGACCTCTCAGCACATACACTTTCCTTTCCTTTGACTCAAACATTCACCCTCACACATCATCAGCAGTAATGGCAAGTTCCGCTGATCCAGTACAAATTTGTAGTACTTCTACTTGACTTTGGTATTTCCATTTGCAGTTACATTTTCACTTCACAAAACTTATTTTACATTTAGAAATACAAAATGATTTAATTGAGCCCTGAGGTCAAAATTGGGCAGAGTAAATATACAAAAAAAGATTCCTATCTCATAAAATAAGATGCATTTTTATAAATTAACTACCCAACAGCAACTCAAATTGTGAACATTAGCATCCGCCTAAGCATCTACACAGTAGATACATTAATAATAAACAAATATTAAAATACATAAATCTAACACTGGCTCATTCTGTATGAGTACTTCTAGTAAATTAAATTAAATTAGGTCCATTTTGCTGTCAATTCTATATTCTTACATTTATAGTCACCAGGTGTTTACTGACATGCTGGATATTTACAGCAGGATATCATGTATTTATTTACTATTTACAAAAAATGTAAAACTATTTTCTGCTAATTCAAAAAACATGTCAGATGTATTTGTCAGATGTTATTGGAACAGACCATCTCTACGGGACACTAAAGTAGATGAAATGTAAAAAAGACTAAGGGTGGAAGTATTCAAAAGCTTTTCTTGAGTAGCAAAACATTATTGTCAAAATACTTCAATACAAGTAAAAGTCCTGCCTTCAAATTCTTACTTGAGTAAAAGTACAAAAGTATTATCAGTCAAATGTATTTAAAGTATACAAAGTTAGTACTCATTGAGCAGAGAAATGGCATCAATGTTTGTAAAGAATTAAATATATATATATATATATATATATGTGAGACTTCTAGATAACATTGTTGCATCTTACTGTTTTAGACAAACAAGCATTTTACTATTGTAGAATCTTTGTTAAATAATTAAATATTTAAACTTTTTTGTGACTAAAGAGTTAGTCCACTCGTTGAATGTTTAGAGATGCATTTTGTTAAAAGTAGCTAAAACTGTTAAATAAATGCAGTGGAGTAAAATTACATTATTTCTCTTTTAAATGTAGAGTAGAAGTATAAAGTAGCACAAAAGGAAATACAAAAGTAAAGTACAAGTACCTCTAAATTGTGTTTAAGTACAGTACTATAGTTAGTTATTTCCCACCTCTAAAAAAGACAACATTTATTGATCATGAGGATACCCATCCAGTATGTGTTCATTGTACCAGCTTTCCCCTCTCATGTGTCTTAGATCTGTGGCAGCAGGAAGAAGAGGGACGTGTCGGAGGGGGGGGAATCCAGCGCTGCGTCTGGGAACGCCGTCCTGACTGCGGGGCCGATCATCACTCGCAGTGGTACATTCTGATAACACTCACAGCACAGAAGGGGGCTGTTTCTCCCACCTGAAACACAATGCATTCAGCACTTTTAATTCCTTTAAGCTTTACAATTCTGAAACCGAATGTTGGGACTGATGTTGAGAACTTATCTGTGCCATTGCCAACTGTAGCATTCTGTTGAGTAATGTAGTAGAAATGTACCCTCAATGCTCTTTGCTTTTTTACCACAGATGACACGCCAACCAACAACTCTCAGCTGGGTGAGCCTGAGCATTCTGTCCTTTGTGGGGGGGGGGGGGGTAGCCTTTCATTGAAATGGAAGGGAGAAACTTGTTAAAGCATTTAGGTTGAAGGAACATTTAATATAATTCTCTTTAACATATTATTTCCTAATATCCTGTGATGTTTGATCCACGTAATTTGTGACCTTAGGTCCCCTTTAATTAGTAATTTTGCTACATAACACAGAATGTAAACATAAATCCCTGAGAAATGATTGCATTCAGACAGGAGAGACACACATTCTGATTGTAGTTAATGTAGTACCTGTTAATGTAGAGACTGTGTTTTTTTACAAATGTGCTGCTCCTCCAGGAGGTCTCAATGCAGTGTCTCATGGCTTTGTTATATTCTGGACCCTTTGACTCTCATGTCAGTAAGCTATATTTACTGTTTGATTCCTGAGCTGCAAATATCCCAGTGTCATATTACTCTGTGGGTAATTGTTCTTGGGAACAAGAAAAACAAGCCATCAAAAGAATTGGACTGGAAATGCTCTATGCGTCATCAACAGCAGTTTGTGTGTGAGGGTGCAGATGAAATGAGGAAGGTGTGTGATGATTTCTCTGTCTGTGCTGCTATAGCCCACCTGAAGGCGCCAGTGTTTCAGATGAACACAGTGACCAGTGCTCTCATCTCGGGGGTGATCATCCTGGGCGCCATTAGTGTCTGCTTCTTCATCTTCTCCCTCACCCTCCTCAAAGGCAAAAGCACTCCGATCAGCAGCCTGTCGGGGGTCCGCAACCCGGCCTTCAACTGAGCACCTGAACGCACCTCACTGCAGGCACTCCTCTAACTGACAATGCTAAGCCAGGGTCAAACAACATGGTGTAATGATATTTGTGAATGTAGTCATTTAACAGAAGAATAAAAGCTAAATGTTGATGTAGAGAAGGGTTAACAGGTCTGTACAATGTGCATTAGTGTAGAGTAAAGCAAGACCTTTGATGTTCTACTTTGTGTTTCAACCATGTGGCGGGCTACGCCGCGTCCTGCATGTTAATATTCCTCATACAGCTTTGACCCACATAGCAGGGACAATCCTAACTTAAATCATTACCTCAGCTCTACAGCTTTTAATTGCAGGGTATAGAATCCAATCCCAGGCTCACAGTTCGTTTTTACAGAGCATAGTATGTTGGTAAAACTCACACTTCCTGCTTGGAGGAGGAACAATTTAAACACTGCAATGAAAATACAACTTGAGAGAATGAGGGCAACTACTGTATAAAATGAACCCAAACTGGATGTAGTGAACTATCAAATACATGTATATAAATAGATGTATTTCCAGGAGACAGACTAATAAAAGATGTGGTTTATGATTTATCAATTGACAGGTCTGTTTTACCAACATATGAACTTCACTCACACTAAACAATTTATGCAATGTGGCAGCAATACTGATGTTAAGTTCCATGTGTACATCTACCCATAGTAATTGTGTATAACCCAAACTGTGTTTTTGTAAGTGTCTTTAATGATCTTTTCCTGAAATGTACAAATTGTGAACTATTGTGCATATTGCAAACATTGAAATTTGACTTGTCATTAAAACTTGCCGCTGTCATATTTCTGAACATACAGTATGAATTTCCTCTCAAACCTGACTGGAGGGTTTGAGTCAGCAACCAGCTCAGAGGCTTTTCGCATTAACCTAGCAAATAACCTCATGATCAATGATGATTCAATTATAAATACGCATCTGAGACCAAAAGGCTTCAAACTTTTCATTCTTAACCACCACGTTAATCGCTGTGTAGATTGTCTAGATTCCTGCAATAATGTGAACACATCAGTCATGCACCATGTTGAACTACCCAAAAGGATGGTCTCTGGGTCTTGATTAAGGATATTTCTGTAGTTATGAATACATATGTTCTTACCTAAAAAGGGTTTGAAACGATTGTTTATAATCCCCAGTGGGAAATATTCAGAGTCCAAACACATCTCCCAACATATAGTTAGTGCGAATGCTGTGCCACAGCATTCCACTATAGTTCTTCGAATCTTTATTCTTCCCCTTATTAGTGCGAATGCTGTGCCACAGCATTCCACTATAGTACTTCAATTTCTTTATTCTTCCCCTTAATATTATTATTATTTCACCAATACTTTGGCTCTCCATAACTTCAGCTTACTTTCAGCTACAGAAACCATTCAAATATCAAACTATTCAGCCTGTTCAGGAATCGATGGGAAACCTTCAACCTTTTAAAAATATTTTATACTTTTTGAAATATTCAGCTTTTTAAACTCTTTTTTTTAAACATTGAAGTCAATGGGAGATGCCTTCAAATCCTATTTTCCTACACTTTGCGCCAAATGCTTCTCCTTCCACATAATTTCAGCTAGACACTTCATTCCAACTTTCAAATGATCACAATACCTTCAGCGATAAAACTTGTTATTCAGATTCTTCATATCTTTTACACTTCTTGAGATAATTAACTTTGTTTGGAGCTTGGTAAAGAGGCTTTCTTCAGATTTTAACATTAGTGTGGATGGAGCAGCTCGTTAAGTCTAGAGTGCTTTGATCTCAAAACAGAGTGCAGCAGGGCTCCCCAAAATATGTTTTAAACTTGCCATATTTCCCAAACCCTACACTCCTCAGACATATTTTTTCATGAAAAACGTAGGAAAACCTCTCCTAGGTTGGAAAATTAAAAAAAATTAAGAAGAAATATTAATCAAAATGCCTCTTGAGGGCATGAAGAGACAAAAGTCCACCTAGCTCCCAATTGATTCCCATGTTAAATCTTTCCGGAACTTTCTTCAGAACAGAGAGAAGTACACTTTAGACAAACTGCTCCCATCTCCACATTTTACACAGAAAACAAAAAAAAACAACATATATCAGTTCATTGGGGTTCCCTGATGCTCACGGTCTGGTAATTTTTTGATAGGAGCCATGGTTTTTCAACAGGTGGCAAAATTGTCAGATACAAACCTCAATGCATTCTTAATGGGACTCAGTGCTGCAGTGGGTAAATTGTCATAAGTCATCACCATGGTAACCTTTCATCTCTGGGTTTACACACACAGGTGTTTGTAAACATTCACTCTCTCTCTCTCTCTCTCTCTCTCACAGACAGACAGACAGACAGACAGACACACTCTCTCTCTCTCTCACACTCACACTCACACTCACACTCACACTCACACTCACACTCACACTCTCTCTCTCTCTCTCTCACAGACAGACAGACACACTCTCTCTCTCTCTCTCTCTCTCACAGACAGACAGACAGACAGACAGACAGACACACTCTCTCTCTCTCTCACACTCACACTCACACTCACACTCACACTCACACTCACACTCACACTCTCTCTCTCTCTC